AGAATCATTAATGTACCATGAACATCACAACATGGTACCACAAACATTGCTACATGATATCACAGATGACCTTAAACAAATGCCTTTTCTGTCCTCCAGTTGAACTGACAATATATGCACATCTTCAGGAAGCAGTCGTCTAAACAGAGTGTTAAATTTTAAAGAGTTTTGGATGTGGTTTTTCTCTTTTAATCCTGCGGACATCATTTATGATAATGAGTCATTTGAAAATTCACATTTGACGTACATGTGAACGCATTTAATCTATAGTAAACAAGCCAAATATAAATCTTACAAACACATTGAAAGATTTAACCATCTGCACTGATCGAGAGCCAGAAGGGAATTAACTCTAAGAAATAACATATGATTAAATACCCTTCTGGTTCTTAACAGCTAGACCTAGCTATATGTATGTAGGTCTACATATCAGCACCTGAAGAGAAACAACCTTTTCATAATCATACAACTTATACATAATAGGACATTATATGATACAAACCTAATTATAATTATGTCAGATCAGACTAACTAGCTCTTAGCTAATCATGTATCAAATAACCTTCATCACAAAGTGACTGGTTCATAACTTCATACTATAAAGATCAGCATATTAATTGCTTATTTCTGTGAATTCTGAAGCCCATAAAATGATAATTAGAGAAAATATTACAAGAGTTAACTTCGAAAAGAAAGACCAGGGGAAAAAAAAGCTTTATCTTTTATAAGCTACCTTGATACTCATTGGCTACTTCAATTATGAAATAATCCATTCCTTTACATACGACATAGCCCTTAATTTGTCTGACTGCATCAATGCCTCTACACCATATGGTATGAAGGACTCTGTCCGTCTCGTTAAATGAAATGATTACTAGAGCGTCTGCTGGCCACTGTGTATTGCAATCCAACGTCTCGTCCAATCATTCCTTCATTCATTCATTCATTCATGTGTTTGATAGTGAGAAGACTGAGCTTAGTAGTAGGTTATTAATTAGCAGTATTGTGAGGATGAGTCAGCCACATGGTGAGCTTCCAACCACATTAAGGTCATGAATGGACAACTGTGTTGCGATGCATACCTCTTAAACCTCTTTTGAAAGTTTATTCCTAAAATTTGAAATTGAAAACTTGAATCATAACAATTCATGAATGCATGACCAATCCTATGTATGCTCAAGATTTAATGTAACAGTGGTTTGGAAAAATGTGTCCATATGTAAACACGTTCCAATGATAGTAAACAAAGAGTTCTGTCATAAGTGACCTCAGGACCTTGCATCATTTTCTGAAGCTCCTTAAATTCCCCAGGGACCTATTTTCTCTTACTGATGGTCCCTATTATTTTTCATAAGGAAATAGCCTACTTTCGTAAAAAATATGTTCCAAAGTTGCTTGTTTTCAGAGTTGACAATTACATAATCTCTGATACAGAGCGTACTAAAATACAATAGCCAGGTTCTGATACTTAATTACATGTATGAGTACCACTTCTTTGTTTTTTGTTTAATGATCTTTGGACTTCTATCTCTGATCTTTGTAGTCTATCCTTAATTGCCTTAGTTATAAACTCAGGAACAATACCAGGAAGAAACAGATAACTCGGTTGGACCTCACTTCTACTGATAGTGATACTATTCATATCACAAGGGAACAACTTTGACACTAATCTACTTAATTACTGATTACATTTTGAGAAAAAAATAACAGTAAGAATTAAGAAACAGTAAGTTTATCATTAGCTATTTTCCCCCACACTGTGTACTTTCTATCAACATACATCAACTACCAAATCCAAGATCATATTCATCTTCTTATCAAACTATTATCTCGAGTGATACTCCCATAAGAAAAAGTCTGTAAATATAAATCTACAAAGTACTCATATTTTGCATATAATCAAACACCTTCTATCCTGGATAGTCTTGTAAGACAGACTGTAGTTTTAACCAAATTTCTTTAACAGAATGGTAAAATTTATTAATTTCTTCTTGTCCACACTTTTTAACCCCAAAAAAAAGCATGAGGTTCCATGTTCTTTTATATTTTTCTTACCAAACCGAAAACTGAATTTGTTAAAATAAAGTTTAATTTCTCCATGCACGACGGAGGTTCAAAACAAAAAATCTTGACGAAATCAATAGGTGATACGTAGACTTTGTACGTATCACCTAATTAAATTGCACTGTACTAAACATGTTTGTTACTTTACTGTCTAACAGTAACACTTGCTAAGATTCTTCTACATTCATGCCAAAGAAATAATATCATATAATTAAATGAAGGGTGTGGGGTGAAAGGAATGCCCCCCCCCCCCCCCCCCCCCCCGAGGCAAGACTCTAGCTTAATACTTGGCCTTTGAGAAAGAAAAGGGTAATTACAAATTCAGCTTCCCTTTTTACAGCACTGTCATGTCCTAAAGAATCTTCATTATTTGATCAACATGTAATCTTTTGAAATCATAAACTCATTATGGTCACAAATAATTTATAGCCAATATCATGCACATTATATTTGCACTTGTGATTTCAGCTACCATACTATACAAGCAAAAGGAAATGAGCTCAAAAATTAATGTTTGCTCACAAAATGACAAGGCAAATTTTCATCAGTCACGTAGATAGTGAGGTGAAAATTCAATTTTTGTGAGAAATTACTTCTTTTTCCTGTTTTTCTCAAGTTAGTATAAACTTGGAACATGCAATCATCATGGTTCCAAATGGTTTGTAAGATCATAACATAAACATAAAATTGTGTTCATGGACTATATATGTACATGCATATAGCAGGTATTAGATGGATTTTTTTTGTTAAATACCTTTAAAAATACATGGGGCCAGTGACAATGAATTTAGTTTACAGTTTATAGAAATCTTTAAATGTTCAAATAATCATTTGGACTCTGGTCTTCAAAGCTAAAAGTGCAAATGTGACTTCAATTATCACTAATCCTGGTTGAATCTTACTCTTGACAGCTCAGCTGATACAATCTATTTCCAGGATGTATTTCATCAATATCTTCTGATGAAGATATTCTGTGCCGCCCGCCCCCCCCCCCCCCACACACACACACACACACGCACCTACTTCACCAAGAAATCTTATCTAAAGATCAGACTCAAAGGCTTATCAGTCATCCATTTCCAGGATATGTATGATTATTTTCAAAATATAATGGCATAATTTTGTTTTTTAAATCAGATACAAGAATTTTTAAATTAATGTTAATGTGTGAGAAATCACTTCCTTGTACATTAAACATAAGCCACCAAATTGGAATCTTCATTATTACATACCTGTATGCACTCGTGCATTTTGTGTAACATGCCCTGTTGTATAAGGGGGAAGTCCCTCCCTCTCTACCTCTCTTCAACGTTCACTATAATGGGTTCGATATCTATACAATTCTTAAGGAGCACCAAAGCACAGAATCTCTCCTTTGTACCTTCTCTATATAGCTAATATTTAATTGTTAAATATTGTCGTCTTTCTGGGCGTTTCCATCCAAAAGACCTTTGTAGTATGGTGTTTCAAACAGGAAGAATGCTATTGTGTGTTTGCATACATTGTACAAGCAGTGAGAATAAATTGACATCTGTAAATAGAGGATTTTGGTATCAATAAGGCATGGGACGAACATTAATGCCTGTAGTACGTTCACATTATGCCTGCATGTATATCTCGGCAAGTCACATACGAAACCAAGTGAATAGATATCTCATTGATATATAGTAAATTTGTAAATGTCACAGCAATCTTTTCTAAAAATAATCGCCACACGGACATGAAACTTGAAAGAAATGGACAATAGTTGCCCTTTCAATACAATATAATGATTTCAACAAAGTTTTTACCAGCAAGCATCTAAAATATTTGAAATAAGATATGATTGCATCATGAGCTTATAAATACAATGTACATGTCCATGTTCATGTATTAAAATCTTTTAAATAGATCTGTTTTTAAAGAGCAGATTATATGAAAGCTGATATATGTTTAAAAAAATTCCGCTTTTATATAGCGCTTAATACATCTATGATGTCTCTAAGCCTCCACCAGTTGTGTTAGTTGCTATTTAAGGCATGAATATTAGTCTCCCTAAGCCCATACATTGTACATACATGTATGATGTGTTTATACTGAGTAAGATGATAACAGCTTAACATCTTACATCCAAGGGGTCACAGGGGGCATGTTTTCTCCCCTCCAATAAAAACCTACTGAACTTATAACATGTTTTCATTTACTGTGCCCCATCATCCACACCTTTTTACAACACCTATGTGTGTTCAGAAATGCTTATTCTATGCAATCTAATACCATCATTCCATATACTCAAAGTATGACACACTTGTAAATATGCATGTGATCGAAAATGCATGACAAATTAGCAAGTTATCAGAAGAACACAACAGGTTCTTCACAATACTGCAGACCATTGGACTTTAAGGTTTTTTTAATCATTAGATTATATTTGGCATAATAGTTAATGCATTGAGCAAAATAAAGATTAAGTTTCTGCCTCTGTTATCAATGTAATAATCATTACCGGTAATCTAAATATTTGCCATATTTGAATAAAACTCAAGTGAAGTCCTCAACAGCCAATGTAGGTAAACTCCCACTTGACAGAGCTGCAGGTACAGGGTCTACACGGAGGGGAACTCCTGCATTGCAGGGTACTATCAAATTATCGAGAACAGTAAATACTGATAATAATAATGAAAGAAAAATTCACATCTTAATTCTCTATAAATTTTAGACAGAGCATTTTAGTCTTTCATCTTACAATTTGGCAAGTAAATTCAGGGCCCACAACTGCGATAATGAAACAGTTGTAATCTTTTCACAAAACAATTTCATAAAATTCTGCAGCTACTTGAGAGGTTCATGTAGTTTGGAGTAATATAATATGATGCTATGGGATTATAAGGATGATATACCATAAGCAGCAGCAAGTAAATATTTATGATTGCTTGGTAATTAAAGAAAGTTGTTACCTTTGGTTTTCCCCTTTTCCGTGAAGATAACTGCAACATAATTGAATGTAAACAATACAATGAATCATTTTTCTGAAATTACATTTAAATAATACAAAAAGGAAATACAGGATATCCATTTAATATCAAGCACATGAAAACAAAATTCTGGAAAAACGCAATGATTACGATGATGACAACAAAGACTTGGAAAAGTAATTCATTTTGCTGTATAAATATTACAGACTATAAGCAGGATTCAGTCATAATCATTGAAATAAATATATGTAATATCTTTGAGAGTACACGGTACATGTCAGCACAATAATCAAATTACAGGAGGCCGGAGCTCATGATGTTGAATGTATTTGCTACCGTTGCAGTCCTACTCTGCAAATAGGAGCTACCATTTCGTATGATGTAATAGAACTGTTCATTTATTTAGTAGCTGCCTTTGCATTCCTAGTTTTCCTACTGTGTAAATATGAGCTACTATTTTCTTGGATTACTTCCTCAATACTGACCATGTATTGCAGTATGACATGAGCAAATGTGGTCATCGGTATCGGTATGTGTTTACTTCTTTCCCTATGAAAATCAGTTGACCCAATCTCCTTTCCAGTTCTATAGTTTACAAGCAGCAGTCATTGTGTACATGTATGTAACACTCAAGGAGACAAATGACAACTCAAAATAGAATAAGAGAAAATGTAATTTAAATTCTTTTCTAAAAAGCAATGAACACAGTCTCTGAAGAGATTAATGCCACAGAAACCAAGAACATGGTCATTGAGACATGTTCATATGATAATAGATGAGTGTACATCTCTCTCCCGACTGCCTCTAATTGAGAGGGACTTGAACATGAGTGGAATACAAACCTAACCCCATATAAACTATGACTAACTTTCAGCTTAGCTAGCTCAAGGCTTGCATGCCGACTGATCATGTAACATAGAATTGTATCTTTGGGAGTCAGAAGGGTGCTCTCAAAAGACGATATCGAACACAAGGTAGATGTGGGACTAGTATAGCATATAGTAATACAAGTTTTCTTTTCTCCCTGTTCTTTCTTTGGGTAAATTTGGTTTTCTTCTCATTCTTTCTCATACTTTACATGTATCTACCCAGAAGCTAAGGTGGAGCATGGATTAGGCAATAAAGGGGGAGGAGGGGGCGTATTACTTATTTAGAGAATACATGTGAAAACTGAAAAGGCTGTTGAATGAAGGGTTGGTGATCTAGGGGGTCACAGCATCTTCTTTTTATAGTAGTGCCCTCCCCCCTCCCTATCTAATTGAGAGAGGGGCAGTCTCTCACTCTGTCCTAACTAAAAGTTAGCTACACCATTGAGATTTGGTATGACTAAGAGGTGAGCTAATGAAACATCACCTCAACAACAAATCAAGTGGAAGTGATTCCTGCTCCATTGATTGCCAATTTGATGAACTCTTATAAATCCGTAAATGGTCTGATTAATGGATGAATGGTTAATTCCATTGATGAAGTATTGATGTGATGAAGAGTTGACGCGATGCAGTCAGTAGAATGGGAGGAAACTGGTTTAGCCTCAAGGGATCATGGGGGTGTCGGGCTGACATAGACGTAACTACAAAGGGAATTTGTCATTTTAAATGAATTGGAATACATGTACTGTGGTATACCCTGCAGATGGCTGGATGTGCACTTTCTATACACTAATCAGGACTGGTTTGTAATATTGGTTTCACATTAGTCACATGTTCTTTCTTGAACACATGAAGCTTAATGAACATGATTGTGAAACCGCATAATATATTTTGCCTTTCTTTGTTTGTCGTTCTTATATTAATTCACAAAAATACACGTACATGACTAACGTTCTATGGTATTTGATTTGTGGGTTTATAAATTACTTTCCTTCCTTCTTTTATGCACCAACCACAGTAATAAAGACATGTAGTTCTCCTATATGCTCATTTGAAAGTATATGAAAAATAATGAGATGAACACAATGTAGGCCAACGTACGAACTTGCAAGTAAATGTGGTCTCTACTTTACATCACATACACTTGCCTTTCTTATAATTCATGAATTCACTATAGATGCAACAGTGACTATTAAGCTGCATGGCAACCAAGCCAGTTTTTAGGACATTATAAAAATATATTTCATGAGGTTAAGATTCTATAGTGCTCAGCTATAAAGTAAGCAGTGGTCTGAAACCATGGTGGGTAGGTAGTCTGCAGGATAGATAGCACATCCCATGTTTCCTTTGAGATCCCAGGAGATACTATCATAACTTGAGTGAAACCCATTTATCTTCTCCTCAAATCAGACATATATTGAAACATGATAGTTTATGCATCCTTGATCTTATAAACTACTTCCTCTAAATTTGTGAGGGGAAGGGCAAAGAAGAGCGAGTTTGGTTTAAAGTCTGGGGCAATAAAGATGAAATACCCACATTAAGTTTCTCTTCTCTTCTCATAAATTTTCTAATATATATATAAATATTTTCCATGTACATGCACAAATTTCTCAACATCCAATTCCGCCTCCCCCCCCCCCCCCCCCTCCCCAGCCAGCTAGTCCTGTTTCTGTCCCATGAAACTTGAATCAAAGCACATAAAAATTAAAACCTAAATGTAAGTGCATGAAAGTAGTTCTGTCAATAACTCAAACAATTAAAATCTTTACATTGTAGCAGCCACAATCCATTACTTTTTAGCCCTGCCTATCTCTCAGTATTACAGTAGATATTCTTAACGTTGCTAACCTATATGTCTTTTTTAAATTATCACTTTCGTATATTTATTATCAATATAATCTTTAGAGGACACTTTCTGTCATGACAATATAATGATTTACTGCTTTTCCACTACAAAGTGGTAACCATGGATACAGTAAGGTCATAAAGCGGTCCTAGTATTATTTCCTATTGTAATCACCATGTTAAGAACACAAGCGTGTCAATAACACTTCTACTGCTCTCAGAAACAAAGACAGTTTAATCTCTCTGGGTTAGTCTAATGGGTAACTGGTCTCTATACAGGGAAACCTAGGGAATTAATTGCATGCCTAAATTGATTTTTTAGTTTAGGTTGGTCTCCTTATTATTATTTTAAAAAATCCAAGTACATTATTTTAAAGTACATGTACATCAATGAATTTCCAGAATAAATGGACAGCTAAATGTCTATAATACTATTATGCAAACTAGTGTTACAAACAAGAAATGTTGGTAACATAAAACTTCTGAGAACATCATGAATGGCTCAGATTCAGGAAAGTTTCATGTTGTGAATGTAGTCAATAACTGACATGGGCAATGAATTTTCACAAATCGCAAAATTTCTTTCCACATGAACAGCTGTTACTCATTATCATGCCACAAAAAGTTCTGTTTTAATGGCATGTCTTCTACTCGTTTTAATTAAAAGAAAAGGAAAGAGTTTTGACCACTTACCGTATCATCTGGAGAATGTTCCTCTCCTGAAGATGACGACTGTTCCGTTGAATCATCATCACTACCAGCTCTGGTTTCACCAGGCATGAACCCTCCAATGTTGAATGATGTATCATAGCCTTGATCCTCTACAGAGTCCTCAAGCTCCTCTAGAGTTCCACGAGCACTATCAGGCTCGTGACGAATGTCCTCATCATCATCCTTATCATTCATCAGGTCGTAACCACCCACAGCATCCTCAGAGTCATCGGTGATGTCCGAGTCATCCGGTTCAAAGTGCGGAGGTTCGTCATCCTCGCTTCTCTCTTCTTCATCTTCTTCTTCTTGATCGCTGTCCAGGGTTGACTCTGGTAAGGACATGGCCATGGCAAGGATGTCGGTACTAGCTCCACCACCACCACCACCACCACCAGAGGTGATTAGACCACCACCACCATCACGACTCCTAGGAGATACATCAGACGTGATGGCTTCTGCTGTCAGGTTGATGCGATTCTTAGAGATATCATCTTCCATAGAGGGTGTAGGGGAGAGGAATGAGCATGATCCTTCAGAAGGAAGATCAGATACGATATCAGGTCTCTCCTCCTTGGATCCAGAACTCAGCTCAGCCACAAGTCCTGCTGATTCCACTTTGCCAGATACGGTAGCTCTTACAGGTTCATGGCTCTGTGCTTTGACTTCTGGAAAGGGAACGTCTTCAGTCTTACTGGGAATGTTCTTAGAGGAATATGGTGATTGGCTTAACGCTTCATGAATGTCATTAACTGAATACTCATCATCAATCGATTGTGTTTGCGGCTTTTTCGTGTCTACGCTTCTTTCTTGAGCAGCGGCGTGATTAGACCTCCTAGATGGCACCTCTGGAACATTCTTGCGCCGACTGCTCTCAACATCCACATTCAACTTTTCTGCATAATCAATATCAGGCCGATTAATTGCAATAATATCTGAGGCAGGCATCTCCTTTTTCTTTGGTGGATCTACATGATGAATCTCTGCATCACTGTACTCCCGAGAGAATGGTCTCGCCGACTGGCCAAAACTCCATCTTCTTGTGGAAGCACTGGAATCCTCTGATTGCCTTGAGGAGCGATTTCTCCTCATAACAACCTTAGAATCTTCAGCTACGACAGTCTCCTTATTACTAACGTCCATTGGTATGGCTTTGGTAGCTTCTACATCTCTGTTAATATCTCCATTCGCTTTAGGAAGAGAATCCTTTAATCTGTCTTCACTAGGTATATTTGCCACAGGTGGTATATACTTTGAATTTATTACTTCATCACCATTTGAAGCGGAATGTGATACATTGTCATCGGATTCGAATACCTCTGACGCAGAGTCCCTGCGGATACCAACCCCAAACGGCTCTCCAGATCTGTCCACATTTTCATGGATGCGTTTCTTGAAGACCGGAGGACTTGTAGGTGGGCTACTACTGGTCCTTCTGGGACCTGTTGTTGCCCTGCGTTGGATAGGAGGGCTACTCGCAGCCTCAAACTTCTTGAGGACATTTGTGAACCTCTTCCTTGGGTCTTCTCCATTACCCTCCCCTGAGCCTTTCACCGGCACACCTGTAAAGTCCCCGCTTAGTCGCTGTTGAACGTTTACATTATACTCATTGCTGGCAGGTCTTGGACGACCATGAACTGACTTTGATTCTTTGTGTCGTAGTACAACCCCAGACAGTGAGGACTTGGCTGCATTGCTAGCATTGCTAGTTGCGGTGTTGGCATTGATGTTATCGGTTGTCTTGACTAGTCTTGGGGCAGGTGGAGGCTTGCCCGTGGTGGTTGACTGCTCCTCAAAGAGATGCCTTAGCTTGCGTACATTGGAACTAATGGTAGACTTCTCACTGCCGCTTGGGTTACGACTGGCTGTTACTGCAGTGGACATGTTGATGTCAGCCAGGTCCCAGCACCTGAAATGAGCAATAATACAACAACAACAAATTAATTGAATATATGTTTTTGAAATTCTGTATTTAATGCTGATAAAATAATGCAAAAAGTGTTATAGGCAAATTGCACAAGAGCTTCAGATCATGAAAATATAAGCCATGAAACAAGTGAATCACAGCTGAAACAATTTCAAAATTAGCAATTTTCAATCATTTCAAGTGGCAAAATGTTCTGGTTTTACAGTGTACAACTTCTGTTAGAAACTGACTGTAAAATGCGAGATGAATTTTGGCAAACGATCTGAAAATTTGTCAAACAATTCAAAGGAGCATGGAGATATCTCGCTGGGAATAAGTTGTATGATTGGATGGAACATGTTTTGAATTTCTACATGTATTTGCATTTAGACATACATTTTTTGTATAACATAATACAACAAACTATATAAGAAAAGCATTTCAATACGAAAATACAAAAATAAGGCTGGACAAGGGAGTACGTTACGTGTCATTAGCTTAAGCCAGGCGAAGGTTGTGAAATCATTTTATAAATGTACCTTTCTGAAACTCAGCACAGGATGTAAATTAATAACACTTGGTAAACTTCTGAAAACATATTACATAGTTTAGATTTGAATAAAGATCTTCCTACCACACATTATTACACATTTAATTATCATACTGTGGGACAAAACAAAAACATTGTTTAAAAGTCTGCTTTCATATACACAGGAATGTGTAGTGATTAAAGATTACCACAGTGCAATCATTGAAGACAGTGTGCTAACAAAGTCAATTCTTTTCTAACCTAGCCATTACAACTATTCAAGACTTACCACTCAAAATCATTTTCAGACATTTCTTCATCTGATGACGACATGTTTCCTAAATCAATATCCACTCAGTACAGGAATAATGAAACGGTCTTCACTGACCACCTACATCAATGTCCACTCAGTAGGGAAATAATGAGATGGTCCTCACTGACCAGCTTTGCAATTCAACAACTCTATATACACCATACAATATGTTCTATTCCTAAAGTATTTATAGGATAGCATGTATTCCAAACAGATCCACTATAATCCCATGTGACTAACTGCCTTTCAGCATCTAGTGAAGACAGTAGAGCAACAGCATCCAGACTTCCATATGAAGCCTGTGAGTGCTACTGACAGCTGTGTATGGAGTCACTAGTGATGTACTGACAGATCAGCATACATAGCTAGCCCGGTCGGTCGCGATACATCCGACGTCATGTGCAGTATGTGACTACACTTTTATGCACACATGAATAAAACATAAAGGGCTGACTTGTACGATCATTCCTCCTGTGCAATTTACGCGATTGCATTTGCAGAACTATACATGTCCAAAATGTCAAACAGCACAGCTGAAATTGAAGAACATCATTCGGTATTACTTCTTTACAAGATACGACAGATAGTATAAACAGCAGGTCTCATGAGAACAATTCTGAACAATCTGTACGATCAGACATGAATATGATGCCATTTAAATTCAAAGGTTCTTCATGCACAGCTACATGAATATCCACAACCATGAAGGTCAAAGCCAGAATTACCAATGGATCAAAAATTGTTTGTCCTTTCTCAGCAATTTTTTGCTCGTCTAATTAGCAGGAAGACAATGTAGGTCTGCATGTTCACACCAATATCCTGTATACTTCCTAGGACAATGAAGTATCAATTAAGAAAACATATTCCACTTCCGTTGTGACTCCCAGGCAGGCGATATAAACAAGTCCGTATTGTGGATACCACTCTCTCTCTCTCTCTCTAGAATGTGCCTTCCGATAATATTGCAGAATAATATAAACCTATATAGACGCACATGCCAAGAATTACATGTATGTCTCGGAGCTTTCTTGAGAACATGTCCAAAGCGGCACACCTAAATGATGCGATTACTTCCGACTAAGGTTTCTTTGATCCTATTAGATATTCAGTAGATCGAGTGTGCGTATCTATGGCATTGGTTCGCTGATTTGGGGCCCTATTGTAGAGATCTGTGAGAACGAATGCAGGAAGTTTGAAGTAAGGTCTAAACAAAGCAAGAGCAAAGCAGAGATAAAGGACATGCTTATCACCGTCTTTGTGGCCTACCTTGACTGCATGCCCAGGAACATTAATCCTATGATTATATAATGTGCACTAGCTGAATAATGTAACAATGGCACAATAAGGGTGATGTTTGAAGATGTAGTATGATTGAGGCCAAACATCAATTACATTATAAACAAATAAACACAAACTATCTAATGTCCAATTGTTCTCCTGGATCCTCGAATATCAGTTATCAATCCTTCTACAGACTGGGTTTCTATCTCAGACCCTTGTACACAAAACTCAATGACTCATAGAATGTAAGATTCCAATTTAAAAGAAGTGATACACAAGTAATCAGAACTTTCAAAGTTTTCAACATGTCACCGAGGATAGGCCTGCATATTTCAAATTTGACAGATGGACCGATTGCTGAATGGCATGGATGAGGCCTTTATGATACTCAAATATTGGGGCTTTCACAACAACATTGTCTGAAGAGGAGCTCCAATGAAAACTTGCAATCCCAACATAAATCAAACAGAACTAATTGCAAAGTTCATGGATCTGCACAGATCACGAAGACGCTGGTTTCATGTACTGAACGTATAGACAAATAAAACAAGAAAAGATGGCTGACACAGAGAAGTTCAACAGCTGCCTAGAATGTATTGAGACTGTGTACGATGCAGATGCTAGTTGAGATCTTTAGGAGATCAGTGCTTGATTGAAAAACTGCGATCTTGATATCAACTGCAAAATATCCACACAGATCACTCTAGAACTCTTCAGAAGTGTACATGTATACTACAAACAGATCTATAGAGAAACAAGTAACGTTGTCCAGCCGCCGCCGAGGATGTACATGTATAGGACCAGGTCTGATCTACTAGATGTTGAGGAGATGAGCGATGCTGGAGACGTTTGTTTACTACAGGCTCTTCCAGCTATAGAGGAAACAGGATGAGTCAAAACCACAACTAGTCTACCATCAACAAGTACACAGTCCCAGGCCAGGTCAATTCTGGTTATTAATGACTCCACATTAGGCACGTGCTAGTACTAGAGTGATACAAATAGGTTTGACATGTGTTTGTTTGATAAATAATAGGATCAATGATAATAAACAAAACACAAATTTTAAACGAACTATAAATGTTGGCAAAAGATTTTTCAAGAAGTAAAAGTGGAGTTCTATCAAACTTTTGAACTTATGCAGGGAAATTTTATGGCAATGTAACAAAAGGACTGTGTTTTGGAGTGTCTAGCTGTAACCAAAGAAACTTGCATATATCAAAATAAGCAAGAAAAATCCACACAGCTATGAATTTTCATTCTATTCCGCATTTCACTATACCATTTTCAAAATATAATGAGAATGAAAGCTTGAATTGGACACTCCTAGTGCATCTTAATTTTATGTACCTGTAGGAACTTTCTTGTGCACATTTTGTATTTTTATACATGTTTATTCATTCATGTGATTTCGAATTTTCCAACAATGTCTTCTTCATTATTCCATAGCACGGAGACATTGCATCTCAAGTGTCTATCGACCAAGACTATATAGGCAAGACATGTCTGTCAGTCAGTCTGTCTGTCAGTCAATGTAGTTATCCATAAGGGCAATGAGAAGGCAAGCATTCTATTCTAATCTTTCTTTGTTTGTATCTATAGTCCTGACTGTCATGATACCACAGATGGGTTAGTATATATTACAATCATTTATATCAATTTTCAGGTAAACATTGTGGTTGGAGAAATTTATTAAAAATGTATAGTCTAAAAAGCAGACTTCATGTCAAAATATTGCATTAGCAGAGAACAGTAAATGCAGTTTTTCATTCAAATTCATGACTTATTTTGTTTCAATTATGTTGATTTCATAGCAGAATCAACAGAAATTTGTATGGACTGAAGATTGCTAAAATATACATGTATATATATAACTCTGCTAAGGTTGATAGGTAGAATAACGATGAAGATGACTTGACTCTATCTACATATACATACATTGTAGAAGGGAAAGGGTATACCCTATGACATTCACTCGATTAGGATTACTTGTATAAAGTGCTGTTTTATGTCTATTTCAGCATGTTGGCTTAACGAACCACCCCTTCTCCCCTCCCTTGATAATCTTATCCCCCACTCCCACTCTGGCTCATCCTAAATATTAATTTCCACGGTAACTCATGACCTTTTAATTTTGCCCATGATTCCCCAAAATCATAAATGTTAAGTCGCTCCTAGCTAAACCTGCCTGTCCTGTCGGCAGTCCAAAGTTCCCCCACAACATCAATATGAGTCACGTAAATTATGATATTCGGAAACCCCTGCTCAGTCAGCTAGCACTGCTCGCAAATATGCCCGCTCATAAATTATGTCCACGGGTCTTAAAGGGAAAGCCAACGTAAATTATCAATTATTCTGTGGTCAACCAATAATAAACAGAAGCTTTTAAACATATTACGGAACAAGGCCACCATAGATTTGGTCAAATGTCTATTTTTCTTGGATCATCTTGATGGTCAATGACCCAGATGATTTCTTTCAAAATATTTTAAACTGCTAGAGAACCTGTATTAAAAGATTTAAAACTTGCTCTCCTTTGGGGGTTACTAATTATTGCTCTGAGATTATGTCAAGATGAATATGTGTACGTGTTTATATGAATTATGAGCTAAGAAACAACATGTCTACTTTCAAGTCATTTTCAAGTGAAGTAAGCATACTGTGACACCATCATGTTTCAATCCAAACTTATTGAACTTTTGAATAAAAAGCAGGATTCAAAATTCAAAATTGTAAATTATATTTTTTTAACAAAGATTAAATATATTTAATATACCTTTGAGATTGCGGCACATCAATAGTGCAAATAATGTACACTGTAGGCTACAGGTATACAGGTGTTTTATCATCCAATGGGAAGCGACATGAAGAATATTTTTGCTACAAATTGGAAATAGTTTTATCACTCATAAGACACCACATAAAATATATAAGAAGTTATTAACCAATAAAATATTAACATAAAAATGTTTTGAGCTTATTTTTTTCATTGAATGTAAATACCTCATGACAGAATTTTTGTTATCTCAATTTGAAGATTTAAAGTTTGAGTCAAAGCATGGAGTTATGTACATTATGTACAGTCTAAGAAGTTCATACATGTATGTACATACTCTTTATGAACCCACTACCCCCTCTCCCTAAGATCAGAGGGTGTATTTGATCTAAGAAGCTCCCACCAGCCAGCCCCCTTGCGTGCGTGATCTCATCAGAGGAACAAGTAGACAACCAATCACGACGTATCGCAATCCCAGATTTGGGTTGAAATCAGAGGAAACAGGGATTTTAACTGAACTCAATACGCCTACCAATGAATCATGTTTCTATAAACTGAGTAGAGTTAAGCTTCAACAGCTAGGGCTAAGGATTTGGTCTTAATTCCATGGGCATGTTGGAGAGTATTCTACTGCAAAAATCGCAGCTCTTTAATAAATTGATAATCATTCTAAGTGGTTACAGCTCATATCTAAATATGATGCAATTCCACCCAGACCAGACAAGAATATTCTTGGCTACGTTTCTCCAAGAAACGCATTTCTGGCTATGGCAACAAATCATCCTTTAACAAACTGAGGGATAAATCAGTTCACTTTGAATTTTTAGCATTTTTAAAAGTAATTCATGCTAGGGACATGCCTCTTTACAGCTGAAATTATTCATTTCACTTCAAAAAAAATAACTAACCTCTTTAAAAGTGATGTTGAACAATTGCATTATCAAATTTTAAAACGAGTACCTATCATGAAATTTGATCAAGACTCAAACTACGGCAGTAGTAGTTTCCATTGCATACATGTAGATGCTAGAGTACTTGACATCTTTCAAGAAATATAAATGTACAGAAAGTAATCCATTCTATATTTAAAATCAATCTTTTTCACTTCAAAGCCACACAAAGATTAAAAGAAGAGGAAGTGCTATCATGTAGTTTGCTATGCACCAAGATAAATGCTTCATAAAATTTTATGAGTCAAAAACAATCAAATACAGTCAGAGGCAAGGGCAGCATGTACATGTAGTTCTCTTTGTTCATATCTAAATATCATCCTGATGTAAACATATTGATTGGGCAAGCTAGGACCCACTTAATGAGCAGGGTTTACAGGCCATATGCTGCAATCAAATCTTGATTACAGCATATCATTATCATACTAATATATCTTAAATATATGTAGCATGGATGATTCCAACTAGTTGCTATGGTAACCTGATATGGCCTTCACATGTTCCCTTTTACTGAGGGTCAATCTCTCTTTCTTTCTGAATTTCACTCAATAGAATCACTCTTGACATGTCAGGTCAAAAACATGAAAATAAGAATTCAGTCAAGCAAACTAGATGTAAGCAAAAAAAGAAAGACAAAATGAAGAACAGCAATCAATAAGAAAGAGAATTGCAAAGAGGGAGTAAAATAAAAAGAGATTCAAGTCAATTCACAAAACACATGCTTCAACTAGTGTCTGTGTAATATTATAACAACACTAGCAGGACCCGCGGAAATCCGCGGGATTCTAGAGGGGGGCGGGGGGTGTAAATAGATATATAGAGACTGTCTAAATTAAAACCACCAACAACGTTATTTGCCATTCAGGCCATTAAAAAAATATACATGTTTAGCGTCCCCGCCTGCTTCCTTTTTGGGGGCCACCTCCTATATTTATTTTTTTTTTAAACAGCTTCCCCGCCCGCTTCCTTTTTGGGGGCCGCCTCCTATTTTTTTTTTTTTGAAATTTTTTTGATTTTTTTTTTTTTTGTTGAATTTTTTGATAGAAAAAAAACAGCGTCCC